AATGATGAGACTGCCTTGTGTTTGCCTCAAAAAGGTGACAAGAGAGATGGGGAGCAGAAAAAGCTTTAGCTCAACAAAATGGCAATCAATACTTTTAATTTGCTTACTGTCTCTCTGTAAGTAGGCAAAGGAGGAGGGGAGGATAGGGGGTAGAAAAGGATAGAGGGCTGAGTGAAGGCGTGATGGAGGGGAACAGCTGTGGGCTGCGCAGATTCTTCCAGAGCCTCAGGCAGAGAACTGGATCTAGATCGCATGTAATGATGTGCCAGGCATTTCCACAGCTCATCTGAAGCTCTGGCGCCACAATGGCCTCCCTTCATGATGATAGAACAACAGCAGGGAGAGGAAGGGTGAGAGAGGGCGAGGAAGGGTGGGGTGGAGCACAAAGTGCCTACAGTAAAAAAAAAACAAGTTGAAAAGGAGGAGGAAGAGGGGCAGTGAACAGGGCCTCCTTGTATCTTTGTTCTTCTCAGTGCTTTCAACCAAAACCTTTTTGTTTCCCCAAAGGACATTTAGTTTGCAACTAGAGATCAAACATATACAAAAAGGAGGACACGGCAACGCACAGGTGGCAGAGAGCGACAATCTAGAGTCAGAAACTTAAAACTTGTGCTGAACATGAAAACTTTCAAATGTTAAAGCTTCATCTGTTCATTTTTGAAGAAATCCACCACTGACACAAGTTATGAAACAGCTGCTTCTTTTACACATCCAGCAGACACACAGAAACATGATCATCTCACTGGAGTCATGTGTCTGTCACCTGATTGACATAAATCCAAAGTGATTCCCCCTTTCGCACCTCAGATTTGGTCTCCAGTGAAAAATATCCAGCTCACCGGTTACAAGAGGTTGAATTTTTTCCACCAGCTAGGTGTTAACTGTCTTTCTCCATCTGTCATTTGGAGCTTTTTTGTGACAACAGCTGCTTTCTACAGATGGAGAGAGGTTGATGAGAGCATATGTAGTGAGCCATTACACTAAAACAATGAGCTAAAAGAGGCCAAAATGCAGCAAAAACCTGTAGGTGGGTGTTAAACCTATGTGGGTTTGTCAGTGAGTGACACATTTCACATTACGGTTTACTCATTGTTAATCTAAAGATTAGAATAGACAAGATAAAAAAAGGTTTGCGGCTCATTTTGTGGCGCAAAACAGTGGAACTGCATATTTAGTTCATATTTACTAAGGGGCTGCAGTGAAGGGTTGTGCTGGAGAAGCAGAAGAAAAGAGACACCACAGGAATTTACGCATCTGGTCTCATGCGATATGTATTTTAAGGCGCTCCTGTTCAGAGATGAAAAAATAAGGGAGGAGAGAATGGAAATACATACTCTAAGTGCCTGATTTACCACCACTGCGACAGAGGGAACTACTGTACACCTGACATTTAATGTCAGAACAAAGCATGTGTGAAATCTCAGCGTGGCAGCTCTTGGTCATCTGAGATCTTGTCAGAATTAAGAAAATGTTTAAGGAGAGATAGGGTGTCTGTAAATCACATTGCTCGCCAGAGGAGAATGTGAGCGACTTCTACAGGCCTTCAGGTCAAACCATGCTTCACTGAATTAAATTAAAGATGATCTGACTGGTAGGAGACTGCGTGACTGCAGTTCTGAAATGCTTTTCTTTTTTTTTGCGCATCTGATTGTAATTTGCGAAAGGCTTCATAACTATCCCCCTAAGTTTCTGTAGTTCTGTGAGGTCGTTTGACATTTGATCATACAGCAAATTATTTGATACAGTATATAAAATCGCTGACCTGACAATCAATCTGAACGGGACATGTAATGTATGTGGTCACCAAATATAGTTAAAATCTATCCAGGAGTTGAGACTATTCACTCAGGACCAAACATTTTATGATGATGGTGTCATGATAAGTGAAAAATTTGACCTGCTGCTGGTACTACAACAAAAGTGAGGGCATCACCACAATCATTAGGATTCATTCTCTGGAGACCATGAATATTTGTTAAAAAAAGAACTCATGGCAATCTATCCAAAAGTTGTTGAGATATTTCAGTCAGGGCCAAAACGGCAGCATCACTCCACTGCCATCCCCAGAACTAGGAACAGAAGACTGAGATAGAGGCAGATAAAAGTAGATAAAAGTGGGCGATTAAGGCCCATGCCAAATACTGAGCTAAATAAAAGTGCATTTTTAAGTAAAGTCAGTTTCTTTTAAATCTTTTTCCTTAATCCTTCTTGTTTGTTTTCCCCTGTCCTCATCCTCTGGGGCTTGTCTTCCTCTTCCTTCCTGTCCTCTATTGCCTGCCATTACTATTTATAGTATAAAAATTTACTACTCCTCTCTCTCCTCCTTGTCCTCCCTTTCACCTTCTCTTTTTCCAGCCATTACTATTTTTAATCACTATCACTTTCTTTTCCTCCCACCTTCCTCTTCTATTCCTCTCCTCAGCCACCTCATTTCAAGGGCTGTAGGTAAACAAATTGATCTCATGTGGAGGCCAATCAAAGGCAAACATCCTCTTGGCAACCGCTGTCACTTTGGCACAACATCACTTGCATCTAGAAAAAAAACCCACAGTTGAAGCTGTAAGTTCAGCGGACTAACTGCATTAGTTGTGTAATGTTCTTGATGTGGGAGCATGAGGTTTCTCTGTCTGGGGGAGGAGACATATGGTGAATCTTCTGCAGCGGAAGGAATTAAAAGTCTGCCTCTGTGGCAAATAGACATGAAGAGGCAGCATGGGCCTGGCTGGATGACAACACTGTTGCATCTCTTTGGTGTTACTGTGCAGCTTCTGAAGGTTTATGATGCATTCAAGTGCACTGGGATTCAGCCAGTGCTGTGGAGAAATTTAGCCTAAGTACAGAAATGATTAAATGATGCAATAAAAACTTAATAATTTCCTCTTCTGGCTACATTAGTTGATGGTATTGAACCCATATCCACATACATGCACATCCAATTCCCTCCACACCACAGCCAAGACACACAGCAAGTCTGTTAGTCTGATGTGAGGAAGCCTCGCCTCCAAGATTTTACAGCATCCGTAAAGAACTAAAATCTCCACTGAATTAAACTTTAGAGCTTGTGTAAAAGCTCTGAGTAGCGGGTTATTTCTGGAGACCTTGAAATCTCATTACACCACCAAGCATCAATTATGTGTATACAGAAGGGAAATAGAGAAGTAAATTTAGATGTTACTTCGTATAATCAAGTCACTCAGGTCTTCGGTCAATAAGTTACAGGAAGAGGGTAACATGACTGATGGAGGTGGCCAAGCTAGCACTGCTGAAAGCTAGCAAACTTTCTAGCATGTTCTACTACAATAGCTGTGGGTTTGATGATGTTTTATGTATGTTTTATTCTTACTATGGTAACTTTCAGAGGAAAGTGATATTTGAAATGTGTATTTCTTGTTTTTCTACTACTCTATAAAGGCACTGAGCTGTCTGTGGGTCTGTTTGATTCCCCAGCTAAACACTCATTTTGAGCATTTGGAAATCATTTGCACAGCAACAGACCCACACACTAGAGGATTTAAGGCAGGTTTACTTACTACAAGTCTTTAAGTTACTTTGGTTCATATTTTTACATTGTTTTTTACTGATAACACTAAAACTGCAGTACAGCTTTGTCAAAACTAAACAGTGTTGTGCAGTTCTTAACCCACACTACAAAAAAACAAGCTGGTAAGGCCACAAAAAGGCCAAAAATTAGCCTACGGCTGCCTTTGGTGCCTCAGCTTGCAACGGTTTTTTGAGATTCTCGAAACAAACTAATTATTTGGATTTATTTGTTTAATAGGAACAGCCGTCCCTGGTAGGCTAGTGCTTAAGCGGCGAGAGTGCTGCGCACCAGGTTCGAATCCGGGTTGCGTCAGGAAGGGTATCCAGTGTAAAACACGTGCCAAATGTCAACATGCGAGTCGTCAGTGTGACGATTCGCTGTGCTGACCCCTAAAACAGGAAAAGCCGAAAGTGACTTTCTATTTGTTTAATAGGAACAAACCTTGCTTTTGAAATATATGTTTTGTTACTTTTCACCCCACTGAAGTAGCTTTTTTCCACCTTAAAGATGTCTAAAGAGATTGTCTACTTTTGCTGAATCTGTATTTTCAACGTTCATTTTGTGTATTTTGAGTATGTGAGAGACTGAAATGTCTGGATGTGATACATATTCTGACAACCCTGGATGAGGGTTAGATGTAACCATGACACTTACTCTATGAAGTAGACTTCTCCTTTCTCAGTGTATGCCATCTCCCAGTTGTCCGGCAGCGGCCCTAGCTCGTCATTCTCCTCTGGTTTGGGTAACATAGTCTTTGGGGACTGTCCTTCGTCTTTGGGCACCTCACTGGTGGCCTCGGCTGCGCTGATCTGCAGGGCGATGTCACCTGAAGCGTCTGTGCTCTTATCCTCATGTTCGCTCGACTCTGAGGTGAAAACAGGGCACGATGAGTCAGGCACCACTTTATCACTCAAGGGAGAAAGGGGGATGAGGATAGTGAAAGACAAGAGAGGGGAAAAGGGGGGTCAGCAGCCTGGGAGAATGGACTTTTTGTTTGTTTGGAGACAGAAAAAAAGGAAAGGGTAATTAGAAGAAGGTGAGAGGAGGAGAGGACTCGGGGGAAAGATGGGAGAGAGGTGAAGAGAAGAAAAGGAATGACTGAAGTTAACAAGATGGAGAGACAAATAAAGCAGAGGAGACAATAGAGAATGAAGGAAAAGTAGGATGTGATGCCCTAGTTTGAGTTGTGGCAGTGTGTGAACATGTTAGAAAGAGGAAAATGATGTGTATAGAAGAAAGAGAAAGAGATGTGTGCTTCCCAGAGGAAATGGCTGGTGGAGAGAAGTGGAGAGGGGACAAGTGAAAGCATGAGACAGAGATGGGAGGGCAAGAGCGTGGCAGCTATCTGCTTCGATCACAGAGCCCGCTGAGGCTGCGAACACAGTTTAAACTGTTTATCACCTTTATGGTTTGATTTTTTTATGAGAATTTCTTGTGAATGGAGACCCCAGCTTTAACAAATGGTTTAATTCAAAAAGGTTTTTATATGCTCCTTGTCTGGGCTTTACGCAGTGCCCATTCCAAATATTAAATAAGTCAATTAACACTCATGTTACTGGAGGTGCATACATTTGGTCTTCGAGGTCTAAGAGGGAGAATAACTGGCCTAATAGTCTGACCCTCTCATGTATGTAGCTGGAGGGGGACAAAAATATAGAGACATCTCTGAATATAAAGTAGTCCAGCATAACACCACCATTAACTATGACCTCAATTATAAACACAACTGAATTTATTTGTGTTTTCTATTAATTAAGATTTAAGATTCCTACCTTGTTTGAGCTCCTTGTGATAGGAAAACCAAAATCTCATCCTTTCACCAAACTTATTTTCTCAAAATACCACGGTTCTTTAAAAATTGTACATATGACTAAAAAAACAGTAATAATTTAGTAAAAAAAAAAAAAAAAAAAAAAAGGTAATCTCCGGCATTAATTGGGACCAGTAATCAAACTGTCTGGATTTTCCTGCTGCTCTGACTGGTGTCGTGCTGATAGAAACTTGCTGCCCTGTGGCTATGAAACAAGCTCAGAAAGTCACCGGACCCAGGCATGGTTTTGGATTTGGAATCAAGAAATCTAACTCATAATGCCTCTTTTATGATTATCCTTTCATATGATCATGGGGCACATTCAAAAGGGTTTCTGTGTGTGTTAACGTGTGTGTGTGTGTGCATATTTGGACATTTAGTATATACTGTACACTGCACACAGTTAAAGGTACATTCAGCTGAGTCTCAGTCTGACTGTTGCTACTGAAGGTAAATACCTGCACAGAAACATCTTTGTACATTATCTTACATCTTATCTTAGATTTGGCCTTGTCTGTGCCATGTTAAATGTTTCCACTGCCCATGTTCAGAGTTGACAGGGAGGAGAGCAATAGTTTGGACAGGGTTGTCCGAGAAGTGTGAGAGTAATATACTGTATATGTACGCCCTCTGGCTATCTGGGCTCAATAATGATAATCAAATTCTCATGAGCAATAGCACAAATACTTTCATCATACCCAGTTTGGACTGTGAGGGTGAATGAAAGATATTTGTCTAACCAATTAAAAGTGATTATCTGCTACAAAATTATTTTCCAAAAAAAAAAACAAACAAAAAAAACCAACCTGCAATCTGTTAATGTCTCTGTTGCTAGGCAACCACTACAGAAGAGACTGTTGCTATGACTTAAACAAGATCATCAACACCTACGGATCAGCCTGACCCGGAGCATGACCTCTACCCTAGCTGTCATAACAAGATTCCTGGCTCGAGCGACCTCTGCGTCTGCGTCTGTAGAGGTCACTGTCACGGCTAACCTGGTGTGACAGCGACGCCGTTGCCATTAACAACAGGTCTCTCCTCTTCCTCCTCCTCAGGGGGCTCAATGCTGGCTTTCTCCATGTTGCTGACGGACTTGTTACGCTTCCTCTTGCCTTCAGAGCTGGGTCTGGCGCCCGGCAGCAGCTGGTCCGTTACATTCAGCAGCAGAGTACTCGGCTCAGCAGGAGGTTTTGGGGTGCCATAAAAGTTATCTGGAATAGAGAGGATGAAGAGTGGGAGACATTTAAACCAAAGTCATTTTTATATGCTACATTAAACGCTTACATCTGCTGCATGTCTGCCTGTTGGTAGGCCAGTCCAACACTTTGATCTAGACTCTGAAAAACTCAAGACATCCACTAGTCTAAGAGGATGAATCCTAATAATGGTAACCCCCTCACTTTTCCTCTCCACCACCATGAGGTAAAAATTGTTGTTCTGAATGACATATCTCGACAGCTACTGGGTGAACTGAAATTTACTATAGATATTCCAGGTCCCTAGAGGATGAATTGCAATCATGTTGTTGTCACCAGAAATTGTCCAACACAAATATGTACAAAACTAAAGACATTCCCATTCGCCCCAGCTGCACTGCCAAATGATCAAACACTAGCATGCTAGCAGGCTAAACTAAGATGATAAACAAGGAACTTTATACCTGCTTAACCATCAGTATGTTAAAATACTGTTAGTGCTTAACTCAAAGCACCACTGGCTCAGTCTAACAGTCTAGGCTACACCAAGTCACACAGAATTTCTGAATAAAATATACATTTTAGTTCAATAAAACTAAAGGTAAACAGAGCAGTAATGCTAAAATAAATACACATAATGTAAAGAGACCGAGCAAGAGTGAAAGACTGAAGAAAACAAAAGCAAAGATACAGCAGAGAAAACTATGGCGTAAAGAAAGTAAAGACTAGAGGAGTGAGAATTGTGGATTAAACCCTCCACAGGGAGGATGAGGTGTTCTGTGCACTCGATATCCTGTTCCATGTTAAAGCCAGCTGATCCATGAACACACAAGCTGGGCACTCAAAATTACATGTTTTAATATTACAACAGTTCTAAGATCTGCACAAAGCAACACATATTTACAAAGGCAGGCATTTTGACATATACACATGCCCCATCCTAAACAAACGTGACACATTTTTGGAAGATGTTTGTTTCCTCAGTTTTCTCCTCTGCAAATCAATCACTCACCAGACCATGCACAGACTTCCCTGGCATACTGTATGACTGTGTTTCACAACTGAATAATCACTGTATCTCTCTCTACGTCTCAGTTTCTGGTCAGAGCCAACTAAGTGCCTCTGGGAACTGCAGTTTTTTTTTTTCTACTTGGCTCTGAGTCAACAGCCCCTTCCACAGTCTTCTATGTTGATTTTACATGTTACTGTCCCTCAGATTGTCTGGCTGGTGGCAGACCAGCACCTCCGACACTCTCCATCAGTCATCGTGACGCCTAATAATGTAATGTTTGGGGATTTACAGTAGAGTCCTTTTCACTTTATGGGACACCATAAAGATTTTCTTATTTCCTCAAAAGGTAGAACACAAAAGTTCTGAATTCAGTGAATAATGTAGACATTGTTTATGGAAAGATATTTAAGTGTTGAGCTTTTCAAATGTCATTTTTCATTTAATTCCTTTGTATTGAAATCTCAGCAGTGAATATTTCTGAACAGATAAACCTGACTTTATCTGGGTAGGGTCAAGTGGGAATTTGTGCTTTTTAGGGGTACATTGACCCTTCAAATTAAAACGCTGCTTGTGTCTCTGTGGGTTGAGGATTGTTAAAACAAGCCAAGTGAAAACACAGCAAACGATATGGTTGGCAAGCTGAACACTACACTGTTATTTTTAACTAAATTTGACATTTTGGAGGTTTTCACATAACAAGAGCAAAATTTTATGCTTGAGACTCAGATACTGGAGTGAGGTATTGAATCATGATGAGAGATGTTTCTTCTTCTTCTCTCTTTTTTTTAAGATCAGACACTGCAACTCCCTCTGGGGTTTTATTTAACCTGAGTTTGAAAGACAGCTGAAGACCTTGGTGGTCACAGCCAACTTCACTTTCCATCAGCCACAGTTTAGGTCTGGACTAGTTCACCTACTCTAAAGCTTGCTATTAGATTAGCTTGGAGCTATGTCCTCAGCCCTACTAGCTGATCAGTCAGACATGAGAAAACTAAAATACACTGATATCTTTTGAATGCACTGGGACTGAGCAGTACAAACAAACTCCAACACAGATGAATAGCCAGAGATATGTACAAACCATCAGCTGGTGTTTTCCTCCACTATTGAAAGACCTACTGAAACATTATGTTAAAGTTCTGAAGCCTGCAATGAAGCACAGAGCTTAGTAGCTGTTAAAAGATTACGAGGACTGTCAGGATTAGAAGCCCCGAACCACAGACACAAATCCTGGAGCCTTAACAAGCTGAAGTTTTGCCTCTGAGAAGCAAGTATGCTCCACAAGTGAACTTAAATAACCCACAGCATCACAGAAACCTGGACTATGAAGTTTGAGAAAGTGGTGGAATTGCTGTCTCACCTACATGCTGATAAAACTGACTAAGACAGAGAAAAAGAAATGAAGTCTTTTATAACAAATTCCCAAAACTAATTACTGGAAAGAGGAGACAAAGCCTGATTAAAATCACCACTTTTAAGTATTTAGAGACAAGAGCATCACATTGTTTGATGCTTTTATAATGTACAAAAGAGAAGTGGGTTTGTAACATGACTGTAAAACTATCAGTTTAATCGTTGGTACAAAGCAACTGCTTTAGAAAATATCATTCCTAAAATGACACTGCAGGCCTAACTACATATAAAAACAGGAGTCAACATTTCCTCTCATTGTGCACTGGTAGAAAACATGCAATTGCCATGCTTCAAATTGTGTTGCTTTCACAGCTCATTGGGAACTACAACCAAAGGTGTTAATTTGTAGACACCTAATGATTCTCTTTTGGATTTTAGGTCAGTGGCAGATGAACTTTGGCAACATGTTTGGCTCCTAACTGCATCACTGAAATGTTCTGCAAAAGCTCTGACTAATGGGGCCAGATTTGGCCCATGTGACATTTTAGTTAGGCTCCACACATACAGTAACACTTTGGAATTTATTGTTAAATCCAGTTTGCAAATTGTTGCTATTTTTCCACAGTCTCCCCAGTCTGTTGGTCCAAGGACAAAAAACACACCAGCTGACCCGGAGCACAGGCAGATTCAAGAGGCCTGAACAACTGATTATTTTTGTTTTCACATGACTGCTGCTGTACCTCTCTCATTTACACAGAAAATCTGGCAAGTGAATGCTAGTGACACAGCATTATTCAAGCTACTACAGAGAGGAAAAGACATGTTTACTGTTGAAAATTACTGTTGTGCAGAGGTACAAACTGGTGAGGGTCCAAAACAGTGACACTTTGGTGGCCAAAACAAAGAAAATAAGTCATGCATGACACCGAGTCTCCTTAGGAAAACTTTAAAACAGTAGCATAGTTAAAGACAAAGCAAGTTATTGAGAGAACATGTTACTAAAATGAGGGTCAGTTGCTAGTTTATTACATACGGCTAAAACTAATTCAGTTTAATTCAATAGTCCCACAATTAATCCTATCCTTTATGAAGGTGACAACTAGAGAAGTGCTGGTGAGAAGACAGATGTCTCTGAACAAAATATTAGAAACATGTCTCACCTACCTTCAGTAGAGAGGATATCAGCTCTTACAAAAAGGACACGTACCTGAGAGCCTGATCTTGTTTGTAATAACAACTCAAACTTTACAACAGCCTTCCTTTTAAATCCCTCACATTCTTCCACATCTAATTAGCTGTTAGATTATTTCAATATACAGTATATAAAACGCTGAATGATGGCCGAGCGATCACACAGTAGAAACTGCATCTCCTTGGCCGAGAAGAAAGCAGCTCCCATCGCTGAAGAGATCTAACATCGCTTCTGGCAATTGACCATTAAATTGACTATCTGCAGTTTTTTTCCATTTCCTGCAGTGGCGGTAGGCCAACACAGACTGAAATCTGGTGGGAGAGAAGAAACTTAGCTGTGTTATCTATATAAAAGCAGGGGTCTCCTGAGGGTTGAAGGAGGCCAGCCGGACCAGGAGCTGCGTTTTTGAGTGGTTTAAAATCTGAGCCCCGGGGCTGTCTGTCCACAGCAGAGAGAGGATAGCGAGTGTCTGTTTGTTTGGATTAGGCAAGTGAAGAGTCGCTGCAGCTCCAGCTCAAGGTCTGAGCCAGCAGAGAGCCAGCATGGAGGAACTGTGTGGAAATGTGTGTGTGTGCGGGCAGTGGTTTCTCTTCATTCAGAAATTACAGAAGATTGCTTTCAGTCACTTTCACGGCTAATGACACCCTTGTCACCACAAAGCTAAAAGATGGAGGGATGGAAGCGGACTTGTGTGTGTGTGTACACTGTCACTCACATAGAAAAATGGCTGCTGTGCTTTGTCAAAGCTTAAATTGCATAAAAATGTTTTTTTTTTTTTAAAAGCACAAAAATAAGAAACCATAATCACACTGGTTGTTACAGTACGTATGACTTAAATCCTTACCTTCATATGTTCCACTCTCGAGCAAGGCTCCACTTTTCTCCAATTCCATAAACCGGTCAATGGTCACAAAATTATAATCCACCCCTGGGACCTCTCCTTCCTTAGGCTGCCTGGTTGTGCCTGTAGGAGATAAGCGAGAAGAGTTAGAGCTGCTGAGGCTGTGAATGCCTCATCACTGCTGAATGTTTGGAGACTTTGCCAGTGTTTTAAAAAGTTCGCAGCATACCAGAGCTGGAACACACTGACCCCGACTGAGCTTTGAGTGCCATGTTTTCTTTCTTACACAGAATAGAACAGACAGAATATCTGGGCTGTTGCAGGAACACCAAGAGGAGAAATTAAGAGAGGTTGCATGGAGCTGACAGGATGTCGAGAGCTCCCTGCAGTCCTGCCAGCTGACTGCACCACAGCAGCGATGAAAACTCTGTATTACCAGTTTCTGTTCACTGACAGATTCTTTCTTCCGTTTCCTTAAGCAATGTCTGTCAAAGTGTTTACGATGTTAAACTGAGGTAGTAATGACTTACTAAACACTTTCTCATCACCGTGTGCTAATTAGACTTGTTAAAACTGATCCCAGCTGTGATAACACACACAGACGCTCTACCCCCGAGGTGCTGAATCGGTTTTCACATCTGAGTGAGGAGCCAGTAAAACACACTTGTTATACTCTCACTATGGCATATAAAGTGTCCATCTGTGGTTTAAAGTTAGCAGGTGAACACTGATCACCCCTACAGGTGGGGTGCTGTGATCTGGCTTTAAAAAGGCAACTGACAAAAATTACACAGGTTTTGAAATAAACACTGATTATCACACTTTCAACTATATAAACAGAACCAATCAGTGAAAAGAATTGGGTGTAAGACTGTAAATTGGGGAAAATGGGGACACTTAAGACCCCAGAGGATAAAATTGTTGGTTTTCCCTGGTTCAAACACCAAGAAAAGGGATGGGAGCGGCTCATTTCATTTCACTGTCCCAAAAGGATTCAGTATGTTTCAGACTAAAGGCTGAAACATGGTTCTCCCAGTTGCATACAGGCACACAATGACTGACTGGCATATACATTTGGTAACTCTTATCACCTGTCTTACCGTATGTCAGCCTTACGTTGGCCATATGAAAAGGTGTAAACTAAATGAGGTCTTTGTTTCTGAGCAGTGAAGCACATCATCCATCACTAAACGGTTTCAGTCCAGGTAGTTTGATGTCTATAGAAAGAATCACTGGACCATTAGGCTCTGTAGCATTTGGCCATTTACTGAAAAAAAAAAACAAACCCAAATGCTCCTAAAGTTCTTAACAGAAAAAATTATTTTCCAACGAACATGTATGATCTGAAAAATTACTTCTGGGGTGGCCTGTTGCCCTATGGGTTAAGTCCCCAACTATGAACTGTCTGTGATGGAAGAAGTACTCAGATCCCTTACTTCAGTAAAAGCAGGAATACAACAGTACAAGTATCAACATCAGACATACTTAAAATACTAAAAGCAAAAGTATTCTTTATGCTGAATGGCACATTTAACATTAATATAATATATCATATTATTGGACTGTGTACATCACATTTAATGTTGCAGCTGGTAAATGTGGAGCTAATTTTAACTGCCTTAGATGCTTATAATGTGAGTTGCTGCTGTAGCTTATGAATTCTCCAGCAGAGATCAATAAAGTCATATAATTATACTTGTAATAATCTGGTTATGAAAAGTAACTGGTAACTAAAGTTATAAAATAAAAGTAGTGAAAAAAAGTACAATATTTGCCTCTAAAATGTAGTGAAGTCAAAGTATGGAGTAGGACAAAATGAAAATAGTCACATACAGATACCTCAAAATTGTACTTAAGTACAGTACTTGAATACATGTATTTAGATACTGTCCACCATTGCAAACTGCAAGGCCCCTGGTTTTCATTTGACCCAACTTTCTCTCACACTACTAACTGTGACATCTCTACTATCATTGTCAAAGAAAGGCATAAAAACCCCTAAAAAGTAAAACTCTTTTCATATGAATGTTTCAGTTGAACAGCTAAACCTAATCAAATCATTTATCATACCAATAGTCCAGAGATATGGTTTCCACTTTCTCCAGACTGCATAAAACAATGTAATGAACAGAAAATGAATCCAAATCAGCTTATTAAACTGCCTGCCCAAGGTTTTGTTAATATGCTGATTAGTGGGTCCTTCAGTGGGAAAACTAACCCCACAAAAGGCTTTATGATCAGCTTGTCCAGTGGTGACTGCAGCAGATGAACTACAGGAGATTCAGTCATCGCTGAGCCATTTTCTTTCTAAGCAATCAAGTTATCAAACATGACTCTCATCTGGAATAAAGCAAATGAACTGTCGACGACCTTCGAAGCTGAAACAAACCTGGAACCTGCTAACAGAGTAATTTATAAGAGCTTATAGAAACAAATGAGCAGCAGGGAACACTGCTGTGTAAAATGTATGTGTGAGTGTTTGTGTCGCAGCTCCAATGGAGTGTTTCTTGATTGTGTGTCAGCATGGGGGCCTGTATGCTCGTCAGTTTAGCCTCGCTCGCAGGCAGAGCTACCGACTGAGCAGCACACACACATTTCAAAGACGACTTTTGATGTTGCAGAACTATATTTAGCCACATGTGCTGGTGGGGACTTCTCTCAGGTGCCAATTTCTAAAAGGAGGCAACCACAATGCCTCTTGATCAGTGATTTTTAAAGTACTGGATATTTTTTGGAAAGTATGGAATCATTATTTACAGTGCTCATTTTAACTCAAGGTTAAATACTGTCTGCATCATTTTTTTTACCTACATGAACCTGGATTCTCAAATCCCCCCAGGTAGGTTTCTGGATTTGGGCCAATTCAAAAGTTGGGGAAGCTCTTGTTAAAAACAGTTATTGTTGTTTTGTGCACAGACCTCCTTTTGATGTGCCAAGTTCTTGTTTAGCCAGGAGACAGGAGGGCACAGAGAAATAAAGTACTGAGCAGGATTAAATTAAGTTTATGGCATAACATCATAATCTATGTATGCTGGATCTTAGAGGAAGGCAGCTAGGAAGATGCCATGAAGACCACAAGAACTGATTGGTCAAGTTCAATCAGTGTTTTCTCCTACAAGTTTTGGATGGTGATTAATGGTTTCAAGCTTTTAGTTTTAGTTTCTAACCACTAGCAGGCAGAGATGTCATGAGACAACAGGAAGTGGCTGCCCACTGCTCAGTTGCAACAATTAAGCTGATAATGTCACAGGTTTAGTCTTTGAAACACTGAACATCAGCACCCAACAAGCTCAACATCACTTCCTTCATAGGATTTCACAGTTATAATCATCTATAATTCTATACACAGTAGATTGCATTGTCACTGTCGGGGTCTGCCATTTCTGAACTAGTTTTAAATAGAAGGAGTATGCATAGGGGATTCACAGGACTCAAGGCATACACACACTTGATAAAACTCAACAGATAAGTGCCACTGCTTGTGCACGATGCAGGTTAATTTGTGCATGACCAAATGTCAAAGGCATTTTGTTTCAACAATTATTGTTTGGGCATTTTTGCCTTTATTTGACAGTAGATTTTACACAGGAAGCATGGGCAGAGAGGGAGAGGACACGCAAACATGGCTCCCACGCTCTGTAACCATTCAACTTTCAGGGCGCTTCCGTGCCACAGACATATTGAAGAGGAAACACATTAATGTCCATACAAGTAAAACTGTAGTGATTGATAAAAACAGCATCACATTTCTCATAGCAAGTTTCACTTTTAAAAGTGGCTAGTTAAAGCAAACTTTATCATCATCAGTCTATATCACCAAGTGAATGTAAACAATTGCTTTGGGCGCTTCTGCAAAATTACAGCATGATATGGTATGATAATGCATAATAGAGGGCTGCTACTACAAACAGATGAAATCTGACACTGAACTATGAATCAATTCCTGCATCGAGAGAAGAACTGTTGCATTATTAAACACAAGTATAAATCCACCTTTAGACTTTACTGCAGCTTTAGGAATCTCCAGAGACGACAGTGTAAAACAAACAGATCATGACAGTGAATAGTGAACAAGTGAATAACATTTGTCTCTTACTGCAGCTGGATGTGTGAAAAATATTTATGGGAATCATTTATTGTCTTCCAGAGTAGTAGAGAGTCCAGCCTCTCTCGAGGAGTAAAGTTCCAGAGCCCAAGCTGTGCGTGGAGGTGAGCCCGACTAC